TCTTCTAACGCATACGCAGCAGCCAACGCAAACGCTGTGAGTGGGACGTACGGAAAGGACGGTAAATCTGTTTCTAATGCATACGCAGCGGCCAACGCAAACGCTGCGAGTGGAACGTACGGGAAGGACGGTACCGCTTCTTCTAACGCATACGCAGCGGCCAACGCAAACGCTGCGAGTGGAACCTACGGGAAGGACGGTACCGCTTCTTCTAACGCATACGCAGCGTCCAACGCAAATGCTGCGAGTGGGACCTACGGGAAGGACGGTACCGCTTCTTCTAACGCATACGCAGCAGCCAACGCAAACGCTGCGGGTGGAACCTACGGGAAGGACGGTACTGCTTCTTCTAACGCTTACGCAGCGTCAAGCGCAAACGCTGTCAGTGGGACGTACGGGAAGGGCGGTACTTCTTCTTCTAACGCATACGCTGCGGCCAATGCAAACGCTATGAGTGGAACATACGGGGCGGACGGCACTTCTTCTTCTAACGCGTACGCAGTGTCAAACGCAAACGCTCGGAGTGAGACATTTGGAAGTGGACACTCGTCAGCATCTGCTAACAGCCAAGCATCTGCTATGGGCTCTACATATAGCTTGAGGTACGTAAATTGTGATTATAATTCAAATAAATCGTATATAGCTTTAGCAGAGAAGGAAGAGCAGAAGGGTCGTGAGAGGGATGATGATATCTTTCGGCATCGTGTAATTCGTAACTCTAATGTACTGTCGCAGGAAACGAAGGGGAATCAGCGAAAGCTTGGCTTCAGCAATGAGTGATTCCTTCGCTATGGTGGATGATAAGGGAGTTGTTAGCTCCATTTCTAGTGCCGCATCTAATGCTGCTGCTCTGGCAAAGAGTGATTAAATTTTATAACGTTTCATTATAATTCTGCGCTTCGCGAAAACTCGTTGCTTTGAAACGCGTTATTTCCTTTTAAATATACCCGTTCTTTCACGAATGACCCGGAATCAGTTTGAATACTACGCATTATAGGATGATCCACAAAGTGTCTGAATGATATCCGCAGTATTCTGTTTTTAATGCGATATTAAAAAATGTAATCTCGTATTATGAATGTTATTAATGAAAATTACGATATTAAGAGCGAAAACGTTATCGCACGGAGGACGGACTGAGCTAATATATTGTTTCCGTCACGGATATTTTCAATTTTAGCCTTGCGTTTTTTCGACAAACAATACCGTTTAATAAATAATAATCACCGAGTGTCTGCTTTAAGAACGAAGTCGAGCCGGGTCGTTTCGTACAAGTGCGCGCGTATTACGTCTCAACTTGTCCACGGTATTCTGCTCTTTAATGACAAACGACAGTGCAGCTTGTAATTTACAGGTAGTTAGATCGCGCCGATAGCAACGGCAACGGATAAATTTGCTGTCCATTATCTCGCAACTTTCTCGACAAAAGTATCATTCGACTGTGGCGTTTTGCTTTTCACGCCTGTGCATATTCATTGGCAACTCGATAGTTTTGTTGTATTCACGTTCGCGTTGCCGTGAATATGCGAGAGGCCCGTCCGATTCGGCGAACGCGCTCGATATTTTATCGAAACACTTATCGTTGCGGACGTGTGGTCGATTCGTAAAAATCCCTATCGATCGTTGAAATTTATCGCGCCGCTTTGGACGTTCACCGGCCCGTCATGGTGCGCCGCGCGCATGCTGATAACTTATTATTATCACTGCCTATTTATGTACGCCGGAGAAATTTAGCGTTATTTAATTACCGAGTTCTCGCGCACCGCAATAATTACACGCAGCACGGCGATCGCCGTGCGATAGTTCCGCCATTTCTCGCATTATATGTCTCGCGCGGAGGTGAAAATCTTCCGTCGTAGGTAGCGTTGCATTATTTATCTCTGCGAGGTTTAAGATGCGCCGCGCGCGTCGACGATAACGTATCATTAATTAAATTCCGATCGCCTTTTATACATATTGAAAATAAAGATATATCGATGCATTGCACAGCCTTTGTACGCTTCCTTCTTTTTCACGACACCCTGCCAAATCAAAGACGCTTTGTTGATTCGAGCAATGCTCGTTTGATGAATTCGCGCGGTAGGAAAAGATCACGAAGATTATGGAGTAATTATTACTTTCCTACCGGCTGTTAATTAATCCCCCCTACGCGATATTCATTCTTTATTGCGTGGCAACGCACAATAAATCCACGCGCGCGGCTGTACGGGGGAGGAATATTCCAGCGGTCTTCCGCCGCTTAGAACGTGCCTTTGCGTGAATAAGTTTTCGAAGAATCCTCCGGGTCCAACGGTCTCTTTTCGCGCTACGAGGCAAGTTTAACGAAGGAGGCGGCATTCACCTTGCTCAAACAATGCAAGCCCGCGCGATTAAGGGGATTGTTCGGGCTGGCTGGATCAAGCACCACGTCGCCGGAGCGCCGTGCGAAATTGCAGTTTACGCCGCAAATAGAGACACGATGAATAAAGCGACGTGGCGGCGATACGAGATACTTATTTATTTAGTAAAAAGTAAATAATAGTAAAAAGCATTATACTATAATATAATATAATATATATTATTATGTGATATAATATAATAAAAACATTATATTATAATATAATAAATAAAATATTATAATATAGTAAAAAACTTTATATTATAATTATATTATATTATAATATAACGCTTTTTACTATTTTATATAATGTAATATTATATAATAATATATATAATAAAATAAATATACTATTTTTATATAACAGGAACGTTAACGGAGCACCGTTATTCCGTCACGTTCCGTAATTCCCTCGGAAATCTTTTATTTTATCAAAATTAAACTTGAAAATGGAAGGAGTGATCATCGATCCTATGTTCGTTTTCAAACTACTCAATCGCTTTATCGATCGTCCTGATCTGTTACGTTTTATAAATCAAAATGTTCCATCTAGAGAACTGAGACAACGCAGCATTTTTTATGTTAATTATCACCGCACGGAACTTATTCTTGTATTAATAGACTGAAGATTTCCGCGAATAAATTGTCTATCTCTGTTAATTCCTTCGATGGCTTTGCGCCGGTTTAGACTAAAGCTCATTCATGCAGTTTCAACTTAGCGGCTCTGATTCTTTACTATGTTAACAACTATTCTCCTTTCTGACGTATACTAAAGGGTTCTTCCCGTTAATAAAGATTATTATTATCATCTCCCCTTCCCCCCTTCCGCTCCGCCCGGAAGGAAAATTGAGTCTAGGAATAATGATTTATAATCTCGGTGATCAAGCCGGCGAGACTGCCGTCTTTACTGCCGCGACGTTTCGCAATTCGCACTCAAAGTTGGCACAATGCGACGGTCTGGTTACTACAGGGCGGGGGGGAGGGTCGTTTACTGCAGGAGCTGTCTTGCGGCAGCGATAGCAGTAATGCCTACGGATGAGACTATCCGCAAAGCGCGGATTCGGGGGGTGAGAAGTCGAATGAGTGGGGCGCGAATGCAAGATGATTACGTCGCGACGTGATGCATGGGAACTGGCAACGCGCCATGCGGTCATTCGACCGCAGCATATAGTGCCTTCTCTCTCTCTCTCTCTCTTCTCCCGTACTTCTCATCTTTCTTATCCGACGTTTACCTTCGTCTTTTATCCCATTGATGGAAACCGATATCTCGAGAAAGCGTCGTGTTGTCAAACGTCATCGATCATTCCCGGCGTCGTCAGCTAATCACTCACGTTACGCACGTACGTCACATCGAGCTTACGGTCGATACCAGAACGATCCGGTATCGATATTGCACATTTCGATATTGTATATCGGTGGGAACCATTCGGAATTTTCACATATCGATACGATATTTCACAACTCTAATGTTGAATGTTCCGATGTATCCATGCTGGCCGCTCGTGGTGGCGTTGATTTTTTCGACGATTTGATGTCCCGTCTAAAAGTTTTAGCGATTAAATATTAGTGTTAATTGTAACTTTAGTTCGTTCTGAGGGGCTATTTTATAAAAACGATAAGATAATGACCGAAGAACGAGATAAGTTGATGGGTGATCGCCTAAAATCAATTGTTATCTTCGCGATCCTCCGATCTCAGCGATCGGCATTTATAAACATTTGATGGATTTCTTTCCGACGTCTCGTAAACATTTCGTTAACGGTTCACTTTTTCCAGAATGAAGTACGAAATTGGCATTTATAGAATAATTATAAATTATTATTGCACGCCTCTCATAATGTGCGAAATAATCTAATTTATTTTACAAATGGAATTTTATCCGATATTTTTCCTCTTCCATTTGGAAAATAATCATTCAACGTTATTATAAATACCGTACCGTTTGTATTGTTACATTTATATAACACATACAGCATGGATACTTTTAATTAAAGTTACTTGTAACACCGTTGCCGTTATAAGATAGTTTTTCAATGACCTCGTAACGACGTTACTAACTTTCCCAATCCTGCTTTCAGTCCGAAATCTGCAATTCGAGTCTCGATGATATCGATGCGAGACATTAGATACATTTTGTATACACGATGTGTATCGATACATTCGAGTTGTGTCGAGACGAAACGCGTTCACGGGAGGGAACGACGCGCGTCTCGCGAGAAAAAAATGAGACAATTGTGCGGTACGCAGTTAAATATCTCCATGTCGAGATAAATACGATAATATCCTCCGTTCGTATCGCTCCGTCCGGCCCTCGCGCGTCTCTCGCCTCGAAAGAAACTCGTCGTCCGAAGCGGAAAGTTCGTTAACGCAGTTTATCGTGCAGTTTGTGGCCGCGACTCCGATAACTTCCTCCACGGGTGGCGCTGTAAATTTTCAAGCGCACGACTTTAGGGGCTCGCATGTGAGTTAGCTTAATGCTCGGGTCGCTTGTCGCGATAAGACCTACCGGGAGAGAAATCCTTCCGTCATAATCGCGTACGAATCGTGTCCGTAGCGACGGCCGGTTTAATCGACGTGATGTTCCGTTAGCGGGTAAAATATTGCGCGCTTCTTCAATTCCACCGGGACATCTTTCCTCTTGCGTCACGCGTTGAACGGACGGAAAAGTGGGGGAAGGCGGGACGGGAAACGGAGAATGGAAAGAGACAGATTTAATAAGACCGGGGAAAATCCTCTTGGATGTACGTAATATAAATGTAATGGAAACACAAGCGAATACTGTGTTCACACAAAAAGCCTGCTAATGAGAATATAGGATGTTTTCTTATTACGAGCTGCTCCCATAAAACCGAAGCATAAATTCGGACGTGTGCCGCAGCCAATTAGACAGCTTGAACGGAACAGAAGACAGGAAAGATGTCGTGTCCAACCAAGCAACGTCAGATCTGACGTACCTTCGGCCATCCGAAGGCCCGCATACCCCATATTTGTCGGACGCCATCAGACCATCATTTGCTTTGGTCTCTGCAAAATTCTTCGAACGGGAAAACGCTCGATCGTCTGCAGACAACAAAAAAAAACCATATGGATGATCTCCTCGCCTCCCAACCAGCCGAGCTCTTCGAGGACGGAATCCCATAGTTGTGAAGTCTGAAAGACGGGTTAAAATAGTCCAGCAAAATGGTGGATATTTCGTCGAATAAAGCGTTAAAAGTCGCGCCATTTTCGCGGAGAAACTGGACGAGTGAAACGGATGAGCCGAAAGAGGGAGAGAGAGAAAAGAAAAAGAAGAGAGAGAGAAAGATCCATCGAAACATCAGGCCGATGCTGGCTGTAAATCACAGGCTCTCTCTTCTAGCTGCTCGCTGCGTAATTGGCTTCATCTCGGATTCTGCCGCCGAGGATTATTAGCCGAATCCTTCCGTCTCGCTCACCCCTCGGGAAGGGCCGTAAAAATTCCTCCGAAAACGGCCGACCGGCAAGTGTTGTCC